TTTTGTCTCTTGTATCATTGGTGCTAGTTATTTCATTCACATATAAGCATAATCTATAATACACATATACACACATACGATGTACACGTAAGCTTACATACAGTCATCTATCATTATCCTGGGGAAATTAGTTCCAGAAGCCCCCGCCAATAGCAAAACTCATGGAAGGTGAAGTCCCTTACATAAAGTGGTGTGGCAATTGCACATAACCTACGCACATCATTTTGTATAAGTCATCTGTAGATCATATATGATACTTAACACAATGTAAATACTGTGTGAATATAGTTTTTATTTGTATTATTTGTATTGTTTTAGTGTTATATTTTTAATTATGTTTTTTACATATTTTTAAAACGTGGTTGGTTGAATCCATAGATGTGGAATCCATGGGTACGGAAGGTTAAATGGAATTAAANGCCCCCCCGCCAATAGCAAAACTCATGGAAGGTGAAGTCCCTTACATAAAATGGTGTGGCAATTGCACATAACCTACGCACATCATTTTGTATAAGTCATCTGTAGATCATATATGATATTTAACACAATGTAAATACTGTGTGAATATAGTTTTTATTTGTATTATTTGTATTGTTGTAGTGTTATATTTTTAATTATGTTTTTTACATATTTTTAAACCGTGGTTGGTTGAATCCATAGATGTGGAATCCATGGGTACGGAAGGTTAAATGGAATTAAATAAATTATTGCTATTATTATTTTGAACAAATTGTTATCTGTTAGATCAATTAAGGATAAGGAGAGTAAGTTTTTATTTTATCTTCACATATTCCTTCTTCAATGCTCTTCTCTCTTTATGCAGATGCAAATTTTGACCTACGTTATTTTCCCTCTCTCTATAGAACTATTTTGAACATTTCTCTCAAGGCAGGTCTAGTGGCAATGAGTTTCCTTGGTTTTTGTTTGTCTGAGCATCTTTATTTCTCCTTCATTTGAAGAATAAATTTAACAGGGTGTAGAATTTTAGGCAGGTGCTTCTCTTTTCTCAGCACTAAGTATTCCACTCTGCTTTCTTTTTGCTCACATGGTTTCTGAAAAGTCGAATTTAATTCTTTT